TGTGTGTGTGTGTGTGTTGTTACCGAGCTCGAACATCTGCAGAGGGAGGTGGAGGAACCCTGACAAGGTAGTGTAGGGGTTGGACTGTCCGGGGGCGGAGCAAACGTTGTCGGCCGCCGGCAGCAGCAGCAGGAAGGAGACGCCGTGACCGAGCTCCACCACCTCCTGACTGTAGAGGCGGAAGTGACGGGCCTGCACACACACAGTCACAAATAACACACACACTTTATATCGTATATATTACTAATCGTATCGTATAGTGCTGCTTTGGGATCAGTCCTGACAGGTGAGCTACCTGAGGCAGAGGTAGGTTGATGTGTTTCAGCAGAGACTTGATCGCCGTCTGCAGCTCGTAGTACAGTAAAGGGGCGTGGCTCTCCGGCCTAGGCCCCGCCTCCTCGCTCTCCTCCCCGGTCTGCTCCTTTTCTCCTGCAGCCGACAGCGTCTGGATCCAGTCCCACTCCTCCCTGAACACAACACACACATCAGTTCACAGGAGGTGCAGCAGGAGTATTTCTGAACCGGACTTAAAGCAGTGGTTGATTAGCACTCAGCTAATAATCAATAATCAATAATCGGTCCTCTTTGTCCGACGATGCAGCTCACTGTTTCTTATGTTGTGTTTTTAAAGTGACTCTGGAACATTTTATGTGCGCCTGTATAAACCAATAAATAAACATAAATAAACAATGAACCTGTTATTGGCTGACATAACTTTCCCTTCGGAAGCTGCTGTTTTGTTATTAATGTTTTTATCTTATATTGTTTTATTGTTGTTTATTAAATCGATATATTCTTGTAGCACTTTGTGTTGTATGAAGTAAATAAATATGTTGGAACAGGACAAAAATATCAGCAGCTTCAGTTTGATTCCAGATTCCACACCTTCACCTGTCCCTGTCCCTGTTCTCGGAAGGTCTGAGTTTCTCCACAGGTTCAATAGCCTCTCTGTGTCCCGCCACCTCCGACCAGAACCAACCAACCAACAACCGGCTGGTTTACACAGACTCATTACAGCCGGGCAGGAAGTCCCTCAGAGTCCCTCAGAGTCCCTCAGAGTCTCTCAGAGTCTCTCAGAGTCTCTCCTCCTTTTGTGTCTCACTTCACACTTTCCAATCTCTGCGAGGTGGGAATGTGAAGCTGCTCTGCATCCAGAAATTCCTGTGACGGAGGCCAAAGAGCAGAAATACTTCTACCTGCCCAGAGCTCACAGCCAATCAGATTGGATCGAACACAAAAGACACAGATCCAGAGACGCGCACACACACACACACACACACACAGTGTAGTGATTGTGTAATGTAATACCAGCGACTGAATGACAACATCTGAGAGGTGCAAACAGCTCTCATTCCACACATTTGAGCTCACATCGGAAGGTTTAACCTCCAGAGTTCAGAACTGAGGAGGTTCAATCAATTGATCGATTGGTGCTGATGTTCCAGTGGCAAATTCAACCAATCCCTGCAATCGTTCCATAAATCGGACCAATCACAGTAGTTTCTATGTTTCTATGTGTGAAGCTGCAGATGTGTGCGACATATTAACCCTCGAAACACTGCGATTTATACCCTCAACCTTTCTCACTCACTCAGTTCACTGAGGAAAACAGCCTAAAAACATCACAACAGACTTTAGACTGCAACAACCCCCAGAAACAGCCCCGTTACCGTCTCCAACGGCAACTACTGTTACCGAGGTTATACTAGCTGGTTGTTGGTCAACTAACATTACCAAAGACAGCATAGCTACTAATTCCTCACGTCAAAGTTACGAACCTCCAACAAACAAAGTTTATCATTGTTATTATTATTATTAGGCAGCTAGCTGGATGTAACGTTTATAACCTGTATGAGCTGAATACCAGCTGCTCTCAGACCCTGATGGATCCAGGATTCTCTCTCTCAGAACAGTGAGTCCGGACAGACAGACACTGTGTCCATTCAGAAACATCAGTCTGTTCCTCCTCCTCTGAACATCGGCTTCTGTTCTTCATCACGACTCTCGTTCTGCCCATTGAACCACTGCAGCCTTGAGTTGTTCTGTATTTATGAATCGTATTGAATATTATTATTATTGAGTGTGTGTGTGTGAGTGTGTGAGTGTGTGTGTGTGTGTGAGTGTGTGTGAGTGTGTGAGTGAGTGTGTGAGTGTGAGTGTGTGTGAGTGTG